AATAAAAAAGTGCCAAAACAGAAAACATTGCACTTATTTTTCTGTAAGATAAGCACTTAATTCTAAAATCATCACTATTATTAATAATTTTGTTAGACACAAAAACTAAGTTGACACTTGTGACGTAAGAATAAAGCTGTACTGAAAGTGTACAAACTCTACGTTGCCATCTGTTTTACATAGAATCTATTTGGAGAAGATTTATTTTACTTAATAATTGCACGTGAAAAAGAGAAAAAAGATTGATTTTTAATGTGAGAAAAACTGTAAGTTTTATAATCTAAAACTGAAGATTATAAATGGATAACAAACAATTATGGTTGGCACTCCTCAAACCCAAACCAAACATCAGAGCCGTCAAGCTTTCCACTCTATCAGTATAATTTTATATATGATAATCAAGTATTGTTCAATCCTGACATTTCCAAAATATTATTTTAATCTTACAGGTTGCTACTGTGGTCAATAAATAAATTATAAAATGTAGAGTGTATCACTGTATATTATATTTATATTATATATTGTATATGCCTCAAGGCTGATAGATAGAAATTGAAAATTAGGTTTTTATAACAAAGATAATGATTTTATGTAATGATTATTGCTAATATCGATTACAATTACACACTTAAATCTTCGGGGTTTCGAGATCAATCATTTGCTCCCTCAGAGAAAGGGCGTGTACAAGTGTCCTTCTCTTGGTCCCGGTACTTCATTTCATAAATCCCATTAATGTTCTCTATATATTATTTCAGATACATTTCGCAGAGTATGAATGAATGTGATTTATCAGCTTTTCAGTTTATTGATCTAAATACATCTGTTTATGTTTATTCTTGTTGAACTAGTTTACTATGTGTTTGCAGGGGCTCACACTTCTTCTTGTTGCAGTACATTATGCTCTCAGTCCGCATATAAGGTTCTTGAGTATATTTAGTTCTTCTAAGGTTTCCGAGCCTGTGGTTTCCAGAGATCTAGCGGAAGCATGACAAACCTTAAAAGATCATGAGTTTGGAGCTGTTTCTCCATGGTTGCAATCCTCTGTCTAGTCTTGATATACTTCCGATATGCAATCTTCAATTCCTCTCTTTCAGGAAACTCTACGATTAACTATTCCAGTTCTGTGTCAGTCTGAGCAGCTTCCCCAATCTCAATATCTTGTTTTAGCTGCTCCAGTTCCGTATCTATCTAGGCAGCTTCCTCAACTCGATATTTCGTTTAGCGGCTCCAGTTAATTATCTTTTACACTGCAATCTTAGCTGCTTACAGCTCGAGCTGCTCCCAGAACTATCCCTAAATTCTCTGCTATGTTGCCTTACTTACAGTTAGAGCTGCTCCCAGAGCTATCCCTAGTTATCCTATGTGTCATAGGCTCTCCTATGTGTCTTGGAAGTCTTAGCTCTCCTGTGTGTCCTGCAGCTATTTCTAAAACAGATACATGAAGAGCTGTCTGCAAAGATTAGCGTCTCTTGTAACAAGCTTATCCTATGATATGATGGGAATGTGGAGAGCTGTCTGTAAAGAGCAGCGTCTCCTGTATCAAGTTTAGATTCTGCTTATGGAGTCCTAAGTCTGACTGGATCTTCTAGCTGCTCCAGATCTATGAAGAGCTGTCTGTAAAAGATCAACGTCTCCAGTATCAGGTTTAGCTTCTGCTCCTGGAGTTCTAAGTCTGATTGGATCTTCTAGCTGCTCCAATATCATGTTTAGGCAGCCTCTGATATCTTGAATAACCTAGTTCTTCTCTGTATCCAGGATATTCCAGTAGGTAGTTCAGACGGGCTGGTACGAGATAAATTAGTGCAGTTCTAGAAGCTACAGGATATGAATCCCTTGATGAGATCTACAGACGAGTATGGAGAAATCTCTTGATGAGATCTACAGACGAGTATGGAGAAATCTCTTGTTGAGATCTACAGACGAGTATGGAGAAATCTCTTGATAAGATCTACAGACGAGTATGGTGAACCCGTGTGTTTGTCTCTCCTAAAACAGTTGGAGAGTGAAGAACATTCTCTGATATCTTCTGATATGATGAGGACTCTCGACTCCTAGGATATATCTTCGTTTATAATGAGGTGGAAGGAGGCCAGTAACCTCCTTAGTTCCCTGGTAGGCAAGATAAAGATTATATCAATCTGTTGGCTGTATGCAAGTTACCCAACCTTCCTATACAAACGGGAGATTAAACTCTACGTCTGTATTCTAGAAAGGTTGGTTCAAGGTACTAATGTAAGGAAAGTTATTTCAGAGGTGTACACATTCAGTGCACTGTCTTTGGGTGGAAAAGTGAACACAAAACGGATGTCACAGGCTGACAGGGAATCCATTTTTACAAAAAAAATCTACGAAATATTCTGGTCATTGTGTGAATTTTCAAAGTTATCAAAATTAAATGCTTAACTACCTCGGATACTAAACGAACACTGATGCATCTATTCTTGTTTACAAAGTCCTCCCAGCGAGAACTGGTTTCAATATGTACGCAGAGTATACGCGACCGCAATTAACTTTCCTTGCATTAGTACCTTGGTTTGGTTGTGCACTGTCTTATATTCTTCAGGTTCTTTTCTCCGCTCAGAGCCGGAGAAAGGGTTGAAGGGTTTTCTAGTATATGATCATACTCTATATATTACATCGGGTGTAAATATTACATTTGTCAAGCTTAAACCGCCATTTTTTTCGTGGAAGTTTTTTATTTTTATTTGCTTAATACAGAAATTAAACTCAGTGAGATCAGGACTGAACAAGAAAACATTAATGCTAATTGCAATCTTAAAAAAATGAATTATGTTTGTTTTAAGCTGTATGTTTATGTATTACCAACAGAACCTTACAGTGTTGATCGAAATTTTGTATTTGACCGTTTGACCGACGAATTATACCCCCTTTAACACCCCCCCCCCCCCACCGCATACGCCCTTTTAAACTAGTCGATCCTTTTCCATTCCAGTCCAGTCATTCAATACTCTTCAAACGCGTAAGGTACGGTTTTCTAGATTTGTTTCTTGTCTTTTTAAGTATTATGTGTTTTGACATTATTCATTTGACAAATTCCTTATTGCAAAGGTTGCACAATTTCTTTGTTTATTTAAGTTGTTTTGTTTGTATTATTCACTTTATATGTTCATTGTCTATTATATCTGTAATGTTATAGGACAAACTCCTGATTATGCCAAAGTTTTTGGCGAAATATATTGAGAAGAAAATGATGTAAACATTTGAACCCTTATTTTTTTAGAATATTTTTAATCAGCACTTAAATTTATTTTTTTATCGCCAAATATTTTTAAAATTTACAACCCTATCTTATAAAAATGTCCCTAGTTTTTTGTTAATGCTAAAAAAATTATGAAGTTTTGCCGCCCACAAAAAATTATGACCCTATAGTTTAAAAAAATGCCCTTCATATATTTTAAAAATTTTACCTCAAAATAAAGATTTAAGATTTTCCATAAAAAATATTGACCAAACTGAAATAATCACCCCCCCAAAAAAAAGTTGCCCCAAAAACAAAGATTTACAATTACCAAAAAAATTGCCCCCAAAGAATAAAATTTGCCCCTGAAATGTAGTTTCAGATTTTTCCCACAAAAATTTGCCCCAAACTGAAAAGAATGCCCCCAAATAAAAAAGTTTCCCCCAAAATATCCTGAATTGGTGAGGTAGTTTTTTTTTTAATTTAAAATTCGGCGATGGTGATGGAGCGTCACCAAAACGCTGTAGAGTAAAAAAAGTAGATGTTATAGTTCACATTTTATTGAAAATATATTTCGGTCTCGTTGCAGTTCTAACGATATATAACCCATGGTTGAGTATAATTCACATTTTCTTGCCCCCCCCCCCCGAAATGATCAGGGGGGGGGGAAATATATCGCGCTACCCGTGATATATTTGACCTTTGCCCCCCCCCCCCCTTGCTAAATGTCTAGTTGCGCACCTGGGAATAATTTAACGTCCCCAAAAGTCCCCATCTGCCTTTGTCTGTTAGAGGACGGAGGAGGGGAACAAGGAAGGTGTTGTCTAGTGAATGAGGAGAGAAATATGAGGTGTGAAGGAAAAAGGGTGAAATCTGTGTAAGTTGTGGGTGGAAGAATGTAATATAAACTGTAAGTTGTTGTTAGGAACAGTTGTTCTGATTGTCGTCGTTGATTGTTTGAACTTTGAGATATATTTCATTTTTCAGGGGAAAAATATTAAAACGATTTGAAAATTAATAAGATGTATTTTCCATTCAGAGTTATGAACGCGAAAAACTAAACTCAATAAAAATTTTAATTATCACCCCCTGTAAAGTCGGCACGGTACATTTTGATTTCCCGCGCGCGGGGTTTGAAAGCTTTCTAACTCGCTAATTTAGCGGTGTGTACGAGTACGCTCGTCTTTGCTCACTTTAATAATTTAATTCAGTTCCCGCCAATTCCAAGTTGTGTCAACAGTGAAATTGTATTTGGGTTTATTCAATCAATTGTTCTGATTAGTCTTTGAATTTGTTAAAAACTGGTGATTTCCAAGTTATTAATAGTATTGTTTCTAAGATTACTTTGTTTATAATTTTTAAACCTATTATACTTAATATTAATCGTTTGTTAAAAATTTGTTCAAAAAAATACGAATATAAAATCGCCTACTAGGACCCGATAAATGGGGTTATATGTATCTTTCCCCAGGTTTTATAACAAACTGGTAACTGGTCTCCATGCTAATTTGTCTTATCTCCTTTATAATTTTGTAAATAATTGTGTCGTCTGAATGCTAGGTATTCATGCAAGAAATGGATCTGACAGGTCTTTAAATATTTTTAACATAATTCTTTTTATTTTTAATAACATATCTCTGTTGGGAGTTCAAAGGGGTGACATGGCATATAAAATTGGCTTGTGAGGCAGCAGAGTAGAATTAATTATGAGTTGCAATAATTAAAGCAATTAAGTTTATGCTGGAAGCTGAAAAGGACGGAACTAGATACAATTTCAAGTAATTATAATTTTCATTTTTAGAAAATAAAATGGCCGGAGGTAAAGCTGGAAAGGACAGTGGAAAGACGAAGCAGAAAGCGGTCTCAAGATCTGCTAGAGCCGGACTACAGTTTCCTGTTGGAAGGATTCATCGTCACCTGAAGAGTAGGACGACCAGCCATGGACGAGTTGGAGCTACGGCTGCAGTCTATAGTTCAGCTATCCTCGAGTATCTCACTGCTGAGGTGAGCGTGAATAGTGTTTCTTCTAGTTTTGCTTCTCAATGGTTTGTCTGCCGTATCATACATGATACCATTTGACAAAATATACATTATTATCCAAGACGTATCTTTGGTAATTTTCTGTGCGTCCTTCATAGCAAGTATGATTGATTTTTATTGTTTTTTTTAATCAGTAAAACGTCATTACAATTTATTAAGGTGTAAATTCTTAGAATTAATAATTATAATCAGTTAAGCCTTCTAAATGTTCTTGTATATTATGATTTTTACCGCACACGATGTGTTTTATTCTCCGTTTAAATTCAAATATATGGAATCAAAATTCGAACAGTTGATTTAATAATTTTTAAAAGTGATGAATATCTAGGTTCTGGAGTTGGCTGGTAATGCGTCTAAGGATCTGAAAGTAAAGAGGATTACTCCCAGACATCTTCAGCTTGCTATCAGGTCTGATTTGGACATACTTAGGGAGTGACCGGCAATGTATGGTAGTTGAACTGAGAATGTAGTTTGTGGAGTAATTTTTTAGGATTCATTTAAGACATATTAAACGTTTTAATAGTGTATAATTACTGCGTTTGATCGACGTTCAATAAATAAATAACGCCGACGAAAAATGTAAAAATAAAATCTACAGTGAACTAATCAGATGTTTAGGAACATATTTCTCAATAGAAATTTGTCAAATCAATAATTAGATTGAATTTCTTATTTTTTAAGAGTTTTTTCGCAGATTTCTTCAAATGTCGTATTTTCAATAAAAATTTAAGGAAAACTACAGAAAACGTTCGTGAACAAAGAAACAAATACTAAGTAAGAACACTTATATTCGATGAAAAGAGTTTATTTTTATTTTCTCGAACTGTTTGTATTTATGCCATCTGTTTATTGTAGAATTTTTTTTTACATTTTTTTGTCGTTATTTAATATTTAAAAAAAAACGATTATCAAAACGTAACCACCCAAAATGGATGATCTTGAAAGTTGACGTTGCGCTCGAACTCAGTAATTATACATCATTAAAACGTTTTATATATCTCAAATAAATTCTAAACAATTTCTACACAATGCTACATTCTCAGTCAACTACCCTACGTTGCCCTTTAACTTCATTTATGATTCCTCTAAGTTCTAATAATGCCAGTCATGAACTAAATGACATGAGTTGAAAACTGTGTCATGATTAAAATTCTCGCTTTTTTTAATCCGGAGATTTTTAAAATTCCAACCGGGACAAGGGATACCTTTTAGGGATATTTTTTGGGGTTCTTTTTCTTTTATTATTTATATTAACAATTAACATATTAGATTGTCTTGGTTCAGTTATTACTTTCCCCAAAAATCGTGTACCTTGCAATATAGTTTTGACGAATAAATATATTAATCTATGTAGGGGAGACGAGGAACTGGATACGCTGATCAAGGCAACTATTGCTGGTGGAGGAGTTATTCCTCATATTCACAAGTCTCTGATCGGAAAGAAGGGAGAGGGAACCCTGCCCGTCAAGAGCCAGTAGATCTACAACTCAACTCTATCAAGACACTATTTTTCGTTTAATTATAATCGCCAGACTGTAAATATATATTTACTACTAAAAAAATAACGTACGTAAGCTTTTCTACTTGACCTTTAGATGATTTCATAATTCTTGGACTATTTTTGTTCAGATGAATTAAAAATGGTTGGCCGACGATCTAGATCACAGACCGACGAGAGCCGAGCAATTACTCCCGACGAGTTGGGTCGTGGTAGCCCACGCTCAAGAAAATGTTTGCATCTCAACCAGAAAAGTAAGCAGAAACTTTTTTAATTCAAAAAGTAAATTCAATTTGTTGGCTTCGCGCGCCGTAAATAAAGTAGTTATTACACTTTCTTATGATTTGAAAGCCATTTTAAAGATGATATCTAGGGCACATGTTTTCTAGCCTGCCAACTTTGGTTCCATGGCAGGTCCCACAAAATAATTAACTCGAGTTTTATTTTTTACTTTTTCTACAGTAAATTATTATACTATAGAAGACGGCTCTGTGCTGGAAGAACGAGAGCCCGGGATGAGAGGACGGAAGATGAGGAGCGAGGTTACACCGCTAAAGGTAGGATTACATAGACCTGAGTTTACATCCTGACAGGGGTGTATAATTTTCTTAATTGAAATTTTAAATTAAACTCAAAAATGCCACTTTTTTCATCTATTTTTACTCTAAAATTCATTATTTTCTACTTAGCTTCCCTGTAAAGAAGTTGTAAATAATTTTAAGGGAATTTAAGGGTTTCGAAGACTAATTTTGTCGACAAAATTTTGAATTTCCCGAAAAAGTAGTTATTACACAATTTTACCGTCTTATGAAATGAAAATGCGCGAATTTTTTAACGAAAACTTCCCAGAGCGGGTCGTTTCCCTCTGCTGGGGGAATCATGGGTCGGTAATGTTCGCCAAAAGGCGGTAAATATATTTTCCCCAATTCAGCGAATAAAACCATTAAAAATATATAATCTGGGGGGAAAAGAGAAATGATTTAACGAGAAAATATACACCCTTGGATCGACTAGGTTGCATTTTAGTTCTAATTATTATCGGGAATATAATCCATATTTCTAATGCAACAATTTAACAATTATAATTTTTAATTCATAAAAATCTGTTTATATGAGAAGTTTTTAAGATAGGACGAATGGCAGATTTGTGAAGGAGTCATTTGAATTTGTAAAAAATATGTTATGTTTTGGAAACTTATCTGCAAGATATTTAGAACACAATTTTGTCTCGTTTCAGATTTTTGTAATCTTTATCTTGATCTACCAGTGTATTGATATAACTTTTATTATTTGATGCATGAAGTCGGAGAGATAGATTAATCTTTCTGAACACTGGAGAGAAACCCTATCTGTTTGCTTTTCGTTCTTCAAGTTAATTTGTATCTGTGCAGGGGGAGAAGAGTAAACAGGAGGTTAGAATGGATTCAGAGAATCTACGGGTTCCGGAGCCAAGCTCTCCGGAGGAGATATTTCCTAGAACTCCGTCACAGTTCTCCACCAGAACTTATACACAGGTAAAAAAAAAACATTTTAACAAAACCAGATTTATTATTTTAATTCATTCAGGGGTGTAATTAGTTCCGAGACTCATATTCCAATTTATTTAAATATTTGGGGTCTAAAGTTTCTAAAACCTTATCAAGTTTAATTTGTTGTTTAGGGGAACTGAGTGCTGAGGATTCTCAAGGTGACAGCACTGCATCTCAGGAAGATGAAGATGAAGGAGAAGATGGGGCGGAGAACTCTGACAAACTCTTTCCTATTTTCTACAAGTCGAGTGCTGACAGTGGAACGGAGACGGGAGCGGAAATTACTAAACCTCGCGGTAAAACAACTAGAGATTGGTTTCTAAACCACAGTTTTAACTTTCTCCTCAGCAATGCTATTTAGTTGTTTACACATAAACTAGTTCTACAACATTTTAGGGAATATAAAGGAAATGATATTTTAAATATAAAAAAGAAATGGTAACGTTAAATACTGGATCTGACTTCAAACAAGATTTAGTTTTCATTCTATTTTCTCCAATAAGAGTATTATTTGAAGGACGGAGAGGATTTGTGTGTCAGGATCCAAACCAGCTCCAAATAGATGCTGGACAGAAACGGGGACCAACTCTGTGTCTTACATGCGGAGTGGTTTACACTATAGGTTAGCATTGATTCATGTTTTTTATGAGATTATTGCTGGCTTTTACTGATTCAGGGGTGTGGACATTATCTTTAAAACATCCCCCTTCCCCCCCCCCCTAAAAAAGTTAGGTATGTTTGCGCGGAACTATTTTTTTAGGGTTTTATTCTGTGGATTAGGGAAAATAACTGATTTTAGGGAGGAAAAGATGAATTTGCGCGTAAGAAGTATGAAAAAGGATGAAAAAACTTACCCCATGGGGAGGGGGATAGTTTCTTAAAATATATACACCCCTGAATTCTGAAGAGCTACATCTATCTCTGGCGAGGGGTAATTGTTCAAAAAGATTTGCCTGAGGAGTGGTAAAATGAAAACTGTAACTGAAAAGTTTCCCCACTTTCAATACTTAACCCCTGTTTTCCTAGTAAATAACTCATAAGCGATAAAAGTTAAAAAATAAAATAAGAATAATTCCAGTCATTAAAATTTAAACTCTGTTCAAGTTTCGGGTTTTTAATAGTTAAATGCACATACAACTCGGAAATTGTTCAGTGTTTACACAGACCTATTTCACTTGGTGATATTCAAGCTACTAGTAAAATTTGATTAAAACCATTAAATACACAAATTGTTTAGATGTTGTTTTACTATACAACAGTTACACGTCAAAACCCTGTTCTAACGATTTGTTACTGTAGGAGATCCTGAGGATGAAGCTAGTCATGAGAAGTCCCACAACGGTATAGTTGACAGGCTCAAGTTCCCAGGCTGGAAGAACGAGAGGAACTGTGGCGAGTTTGAGAACGGACGGATAGTTATGATACAACCCGGAGATCCTAAACATATGTGGAGGAAGGTTCAGGATGCTCTCACCGTAGTGGACCGGTGAGTTCATATTTCAATGCACAAACCCGGTTTATTGCTGTACAGAGTCTTTTTTTTTTTTTTTTTTGAACCGGTTTAAACCAGCTCAAGGATCCCTAATTCTTAGCGGAGATTATCCCAGCTGGGATCAAGTCCAAAGTTAAAAACTTCAAAATGAGATATCCTTAATCCCGATCGCTTAATCTGAGTACCTAATGTACACACTTGATTTTCTTCTTAATCCTCTCTTTTTGAATATACCTACGGTGTTAAAAGTTGAATTTGATAACAAATACAGATACGATGCTATATCGATTGGACTAAAATCTGATTGAACTGCAGTCAGCTTCAAAAACCGGCTTTATGAGCATTTAGACCAATATTAATTTAATCATGTTATTATGAACTCAGTAAAAAGCATATTTTATCACATTTGAGGACTAAAGTCATTTTGAACGTTAGTCTTAATAAACAGTAATCCAAAACTTGCGCTCGTGCAATCGATCATTAGTTCAAATGATGTAACTCCACAAATGCCGAAAAATTAAAAACTGGTTTTTCAAAAGTTAAAGAGCACAGCTCTTAACTCTAAAAATTAATATTAAGACTAAATTAGTCTTGAAATAAGCAAAAAGAAAAGAGGATCAAGTCTCGATATTCACCATTCTATATTTGCAGCGCTGGTTGTTGAATATTAATGATATTTTAATGGGGTTACTTTTCCTGTTATTAAAAGTTGAGAAACTAGTAACTGTCCTTTTATATCCTGTCTGCACAACACAAGTTGAAAGAATAAAGTTTGGTTCTTTATTGGAGGCGGTAAAAAGTTTGCAGATTTTAGTCGTTAGTGTCGACGAATTAACTGCAGAACCTTAGATTTATCTGTTAAACTTTGTTTTAGGGAATTGCCAGATAACTTAACTATCCTGCTAGACTTATATTCTCAAGACTAAGAGGGGGGGGGGGGGGATGCATTTATTTAAATATTTGGGGTCTAAAGTTTCTAAAACCTTATCCTTGACCTTAAACTGTTCAAAATGTATAATATACACCCTGGACTTCATTATTTAAGCTTAAATTAATAAGAATTCTGTTACTAGGTAGCGAGTCCGAAATCCTTTCGAACACCGTTGAGATCTCTGATGATAAATACGCCGCCTCGGAGAAAATCTAAAACATTTAATATACCGGAGCAGTACAAACAGGCTCCGCTCTCATCTAGGAAACAAGAACCCTCTCCGACAATACAAGTACAACTTCCGAAAATTGAAACCTCGTCCTTCTACAAATCCTCGAGGACGGAGAATAAAGAAGAAAAGTCAAAGAGTATTAAGAAACTAATAGATAAATCGCAAAGTGAGCCGAGGAAGGTTGTTTCCAAGAGTTTGATCAGAGAGAATTTATCTAGGAAGTCGAGAAAATCCTTCGGAGGGGTGAAGAGAAAACATGAAGGAGTAAACAAGGGAGGGTTCGGCCACGCCATCAAACGTCCGAAGAAGAAGCAAAAGGTTGATATTAAGATATCCGAACTTCCAGCAATGTCGATTGAGATCCCTGGAAGTAAGAATGCACAGAAGACTCCTAAACCCAATAAAGCCCCGGTGACTCCGAAAACTGGCAACTTCACCTTGAGTAAGGAGAGAACAGTTGACTACGAAGTGAAAGGAGGTCAGGTTATATACAGGAGAGGAGGGGTTACACCCGCCCGAAGATCTCCTCGGAAGAACATGTCTCCCTTGAAACAGTGCTACTTTGAAGGATCTAAACCTAAGGCTAGAGCCAACGGAAAACTCTTCTCTCCATCTGCGGATTTTCTAACTCCGGAGCGATCTTCTCCTCAGAAGTTTCTACCAAGTCCTGTCAAGTTCACCGTTGCCGCGGACGATGTAAGAAACTAATAGTTAATATATGGGATTCTGTAATTCATCCTTGCCCGAATATGTGTAATTCATGTTTTTCATTGTCATCATATGGTTGTTCCCAATCAACTTTTTTTTGTCTGTTTTAGATAAAGATATATTGGTGGTGTAGATTTATTTAATCTTGTATCAGGATGAAACAGAAACTAATATATCTGACCTGATCGATCGACTTGGAGAGGAGGAAGAAGAGGAAGAGGAAGAGGATTATATCTACATGGATCCAGGACTTCAGCTCGATCTTGCTCCGGGTAGAGTTGTCAGTACACAGTTTGTTGACCAGGACCCGGAGATTACAGCGTTTGCTGCAGTTCAGGATATCCTAGGTAAGCTTTTACTTTTTAAGTATGGTAGGGATGGGAGGGGTGAAATATTACAGAGAAAAATATTTATTGAAATTGGGTTACTTAACCCTATTCCTGCTGGGGGCCCCTGTAGTTTTTTTTACATAACTCAAAAAGTATTGGTCTGAGGCTGTTGAAATTTTTTGACTTTTCCTACATACCCAAAGCCCTCCCTTTAGGCCTAAAACCAGGCTTTAATACTAACTGCCTTAGTCTAGGCACACTGCCTGAATGACTGCTTTTTTTCTGTAACAAACTAAATCTTTGTTTTGACCCACTTCCACTTGTCAGATTTTGATAAAATTTAGCTTTTTGGAAAGTATTTGACATAAGGAAACGAATTGCACAAGTTTTGCGAAAAAAAATTGCAAATTTTTTGCAAACAACCTGTTAAAGGAAATTTGCACATTTTTAGTTTTTCTAAGGATAACGTTCAGTCATTGTTTAAAACGTATCTCCTTGAAATTGATATTTTAATTTACCAACTGGTAAGTTTTTAATGATGCCGGAAATATCTCGAAAAATGTTTTATAATAAAATCGTCCAATGGCATAACATTTTCATTTTAAAAAAACTTCATGTCTGGTAAAAAAAAACTTGAAACAATTTTTTACAATACAATTAAACCAAAATACGAAAAGACATTAAATACGTTATTTATACTGTAATTAGCTTAATCATTATCTCTTCTGGAAACTAATTCTTATTTAAACAAACAATTTTTTTTTCAGGGATCTCGGGTTCTCTGAGGTTGGTATCCGGTACCCGGAGAAAACTAAGGTATTCCTGTTTATCAGCGAGAAGAAGATTGCAGGCTTCCTACTGGCGGAGTCCGTGGAGAACGGTTTCCGTGTTATTACACCGAAACGTAAGTTAACAATATTTCTGCAATTTAATTTTGAATTTTTTTAATAACCTTCTTAAAATATAGAATGGTTGAATAGTCATTTGATGGTATATATTATTTAAAACATAAAGTAAAATGCGGAAACGGGTGTACAATTTAAAGATGGGGGGTGGGGGGAATGGGATATCAAAAGGCTAGTTTTTTATTCGTTTTCTTACTTTTTACCCTGTGTGGGAAACTACGTAATTAGGAAATAGACTCAAACCGTCGTCTCTGAAATGGCAATAATTGTTGATAACCCTGCAATATATTTTGGAATCCTAGTAAACTAATTCTAATTGCAGAGGAGAGTGGGAAGGTTTATATGTGCTCCGAGACTCCGAACCCGGTTAAATGTGGAATATCCAGAATATGGGTGTTGGCAGAGTTTAGGTGAGCCCCATATTTGAATGTTTTCCCAATAAGTATTTTTGAATAATTTTAGTTCAAAATTTGTAAAGTCGGCTTCCCTATAATGTGATTTTGTTTCTAGTTGGCATTTTTATGGAACAGAAAAATATCATTTTTTTTCACTCCCTCAAACCATCTTTTTTTATCAAGTTTTTGTTTTTTAGGAGGAAGGGAATTGCATCCAAACTTGTCGAGAGTATGCGAGCATCTTTCCTGCTTGGACACCATCTTACGCAGGACGAGTTTGCGTTCAGCGATCCAACCATCAATGGGATGGATTTTGCAATCAGTTATATGAGAAGAGTGGACTTCCTGGTTTATAATAGATAGTAGTCCCAGTATTCTGAACAGAGATTTTTTATTGTTATTTCCGGAGAATCAGAGACTGATTTCTCATCTTAATTTCACTTCTGACGTCATAATTAGTTTTAAAACTATTATATCATGGTCTAATTATATGTATTCGATTCACAGTTCATTTCCTTAAAATATGGAATTATAGTTTAATAAATATTTGACCAGTTATTCTGAAATCTAATCGTTTATTTTTCTTCCTTTTAAAATCTAGGTTTGGAGTAGTGTCGAGTGTATAGTTTATACAATAAAGAGTAAAGAAAAACCTCCCTGGGGACTTGAAGCGGATTATACTAAATATAATGACAGCTATAAGATTATATGAGTAGAAGAGGATTAAAGGATATAGGAATATACTAGAGTATAAGAGAGGATGCACACAAGGGGCGGAATTTTCGGAATGAATATTTTTTTGTTAAGCAGTAAATCCGGGTTAGAAATACAGCCTAGGTGTATACTTTTAATAATTGTACTGCTAGAGACAGTCGGGTTAGTTCTAAAAAAAATTAATATGGCAGCCATCAGACTTCAGCTACCGAGCGTCTCATATTGTTTTAGATTGTCTCCAAGCTTATAGCCCCAAAATACACATAATACTCGATAAACCTTGTATTTTCTGCATGCAATTTTTTATACTGGCAATATTAAATTTGTTTTAACTGACACGTTCTATATAGATTATCTAACTAGTCCCGGAAATCATAATTTAAAGCTTTAACACTATCCAATTTGATGTAGGACACCCTGTAGGTCTTACTCTTAATAACCATCCCTTAAATACTTCGGATCCATTCAAAGGAATTAAATTTTTGCCACAAACTCGGATTTTTCCATCTCTATATCTTGTAAACCTGAGGACAAAAACCTTGGATATTTCAAACTTAGTTTTTTTTGATCTAGAAGAATTCATAGTTTGAAATATCTAAGGTCTACGACATTTGGTTGAAAAGATATAGAGATTAGAAAATCAGAGTTTGTGGCAAAGATTCAATTCCTTTTAAGCGGATCTGTATTATGAAAAATGACCCGGGTACGCGAATTTCTTGACTTAATTAAATTTCTGACAGTTTTCTATTTCACTAAGATGCAGAAAATTTCCCGAAATTTTTCCTTAGAAATCAGGTTTGAGAACAAATTTTATTGAGGTTTCCGTGTACAAATCAACCAATTCCTTTCTCTGTACATATCCACATGTCTCTCCTCTGTACATATCTCTCCCCTATGCATATCCATATATCCATCCCCTGTATATATCCCTCCTCTACATATCCATATATCCATCCCCTGTACATATCCATATATCCATCCCAGATCCGTATCCATATATCCCTCCCCTGTACATATCCATATATCCCTCCCCTGAATATATCCTTATATCCCTCCCCTGTATATATACATATATCCCTCTCCTGTATATATCCATATATCCCTCCCCTGTATATATCCATATATCCCTCTCCTGTACATATCCATGTATCCCTCTCCTGTATATATCCATATATCATATCCCTCTCCTGTATATATCCATATATCCCTCCCCTGTATATATCCATATATCCCTACACTGTACATATCCATATATATCCATCCCCTGTATATATTCCTCCTCTATCTATCCATATATCACTTCCCTGTACATATCCATGTATACATCCCCTGTACATATCCATATATCCCTCCCCTGTACATATCCATATATTTCTCCCTATCCACATCAACATATCCGGCCCCAGTGGCGTATTCAGGGGGGGGGCAGTAGTCTCTTGCCCCCCCCCTGGAAAATTATAAAATTAAAAGGAAACTATACGTTTAAAAAATAACACCTGACAATGACAAAGACTAAGGATTTGTCTAAATTCACTGTTAATACAAAATTTAATACAAAACCCTGAAGCTTGTGCAGCTAGTGCTTACTTTTCCATTAACATTGAATGAAGGCTGTCTGAACTCTCTCCTGAGAAAATCATTGAAATGCAATTCCAATCCCAGAAAATTGAAGCTTAAAAGAGTTGGTGAATATGTAGATGGAGTAAATTCTATCTAAAAATTTCAGACGAAATTTCGTTATGTGAAAATATAATTTTTAATGATTATTGATTTAGTGAGCTGTAATGGAGTTATGTGATTTATAAAGTTGAAAGTTAAAGTTAGTTTTTCGAGCAAAGGAATAATTTTTAGTCTGTAAGGTTAGTAACACCCAAAAATGTAGTCTTTTTGGTGTATTTTTATGATGTTAATTGACTTTTTGAACTAAACAATTCCAGGGGGGTGCAAAAAACAGCCAGGGGGGGGGCAAAAAAAATTTTTCCGCTCCGCGCTAAAATCCTGAATACGCGCCTGTACCGGCCCTCCCCTGTATACATCCATATATCCCTCCCCTGTTTATATCCATATATCCCTCCCCTGCATATATCCATAATTCCCTCCCAAGTATAGATCCATATATCCCTCCCCTGTACAATCCATATATCCCTCCCCTGTACATATCCATATATCCCTCCCCAGTATATATCCATATATCCCTCCCCTGTACATATCCATGTATCCCTCTCCTGTATATATCCATATATCCCTCCCCACCACCCTTCTATTTATCGGATCCTCTCTGCACCTCTAATGAAATCATTTTATCATTATATATCATTCTTTTAATTAAGAAAATGAAAGAAGCCCAGGATCACCAATTAGTAATGATCCTTCACATTGAAAAATTTAATTGAAAACTAGATTTTCTACAGTGGTAATTAGAAAACATCTTCAATATTTCTTTCCAGCCAGAGGCCGAATTAAAAGAATTTGAGCGGCGGCTTAAATTTAAGCCACGGCTCAAATATGGAATTGGTTTTACTCGAAACTGTATTCAATGTTTCAAGATTTCAAGAAGTCTTTATCAATATTTCATATCATCATAATATATTCCTCTACAGAAGGAGTTTATTATTATAATGTCCAGGACACTTCATAATAAAGAAAATACATTTTGAATCCATTTCCCAAGCTCAAGCCACTTCCCAACCAAATATATATAGTCACTGTAAACTAGACAGAAGGTGAAGGTAAAAAAGACATCACTGGTACGACTGAATGACCTCGTAGATCCTGTAGCTTTGATTTACGCAAACGTGTGAGAAAAGCAATCTGTTCCTTTACATGGTAGAAATTCATATCATTTGTTCTTCTCAAGATTTCAATCTTGCCTGCAATTTACTTAAGTTTGGCGTGTAGTTCAATCTTGCGTACAATTCACTTAAGTTTGGCGTGTAGTTCAATCTTGCATACAATTTACTTTAGTTTGGCGTGTAGTTCAATCTTGCGTACAATTTACTTTAGTTTGGCTTGTAGTTCAATCTAATTTAGTTTTAGTTTTCCAAATCAAGAGCATCTAGTTTAAATCCATTTCCAAACCCAAAACGTTCATTTCAAATCCTTCTAAATCAAAAACATTCATTCTAAAATACTTCCTAACCCGGAATTTTATGATTAAACCACTTCCAATCATTAACGTGAAATGTAAACCACTTAAGTAACACGAATTAATGAATTTAAACCTATTTCCCAACCTAAAACCTTCAGTTTAAAACGCTTTCCAACCACAGACATTCAGTTTAAAACGCTTCCCAACCAAAAACCTTCAGTTTAAAACGCTTTCCAACCTAAAACCTTCAGTTTAAAACGTTTTCCAACATAAAACATGCAGTAACGCTCCCAAATCAAGAACATTCAGTTCAGTTCCCAATACAGATCATTTAGTTTAAACCACATCCCAAAATAGCATATTCAATTCAAACCACTTCCTGCAATTAAGAACATTCTGTCTAAATCACATCCCAAACTAGAACATTTATTTTTAACTCCTGTCCAACGGAGAAGATTCAGTTTGTTTATTTACCTACCCAGATTTTGTTGTTAACCCCAACTCCCAAATTACATTTAATACTAAAACCCACTTCCCAAAAATTCAGTTCAAAGCCTAGAAGATTAAGTTCAAACCACTTCCATGCCTAAAGTATTAAGTTTGAACGAATCTAGTTTAAAACCCGCCCAAACTTAGAATATTTCGTTTGAACACGGACCAAATAAAAATGTCCAGTAAGAACACTTCAGAACTTGATTATACGTTAAACCTTACTTCTTCTAGAATATTAGTTAAAAAATACAAAAACCCTTTCGTTCAGTTTTAATCATTTCTTTACCTAGAATATACAGTTTAAACCACTTCATTTTTAAATTTTTCAACCAAGAATATTTAGTTTCTAGCTAATTTACAACTTCAAATATAAATGTTAAACCAAGTCCAAACCTCGAACGTTCAGTTTAAAACACTTCCCAAGCTGACTCATTTAATTTGATCCACTTCTCAATTTAGAATATTCAGTTCAAACAACTTTCCAACCTAGGAAATTTCAGTTTTTAACCACTGTGTTTCGTGGATTTATTTTCTATGTACACGAAAATATTTATCTTACTGATAAAAACATTTTAATATTGTTTAATTTTGCACTAATGTCCGATTGAACTAACGTACTTTTGCACTAAATCAGCTGATCAGTAACTTTTGTGGCCGCAGCGCCCGGCCCCTTAGCCTGTCCTAGCCGCGGCACTCGGCCCCCTAGCCTGTCCTAGCCGCAGCGTTCGGCCCAGATATAAACTCAACACAAATAAAATACAGTTCAGAACCTTTTTTTACATTAAATGTTTACAATAGCCTTTAGCCTTGAGAATTGAGAAAGATAAAAATATTTTTTAAAACTATAATATAATAAAATTTCTACAATAACTCTATTGGTTTTGATACTGATTTTCGCAATTCTTTCTTTCTTTTCATTCTGCAAGGGGGGGGGGAGCGCCCCCCCTCTCAGGTGCTAGGGGAGGGCGCGCGCCCGGCCGCCCCCCCTAGTTGCGCCTCTGTACGTTAGTCCGATCAATCATTGCTAACGATACGACACCCAAACCTTCCCAAACTGTCAAGACTGTTCCAACGCGCGGAATATCGCTTAAGTCATAGTAATTATTCAAACTGAAAAGTATTGCGGTAAGGAAATGTGTTTTTTCTAAGATAAAGACAAGCTAGCCTAAACTTTATTATAGTTCCTAATCTTACTGTACTCGATTCCCTCTCATTCTCTGAATTTGTATTCTTTTGTAAATATCTAGATAAAATATGTTTGTTTTAATATCAATCTTGGTTCGGTTTTCTTCAAAATAAAACAAAATTATTTCTGCAGAATACAGAGAATTTCCTTTAATTCATTTTTTGTGAAATTGAATCTTCAGAAGAGAAAAGTTCGGAAATATTATTATGATACTATTTCAGTTAAAATATTTAAATTGGTGGAAATAAGGTGGACAAATCAACATGAGCTTGAATCACAATTTCAATGGATTTGAATGGAATTTGAGAGGCATTATAATTATTTCAAAATATTATTTACTTTTATACGTTCTTGCTTAGTTTACATTGATTTGTATTAAATCCACTTTTAAAAATCCTCATCCGGAAGTTTTAATTTCAAACTTGGATATTGTGATTATGCATATTTAGATCTCTGGAGCTTAATTAATCAATCAAGGGTTAATTAATTCCCGGAATATATAGAGTTAGAGTAATGCATGAGCAGAACAACCAGAGGTTTCGGTTCATCAAGGTTCAGAGAAGAGTAAGGAGAAGGTTTAGGAGGCTTAATCAGGATAGAAGAGTAGGGAGTAGGTTCAGGAAGTTTAAATTAGGATAGAAGAGTAGAGAGTAGGTTCAGGAGGTTTAATCAGGATAGAAGAGTAGAGAGTAGGTTCAGGAGGTTTAATCAGGATAGAGGAGTAGGGAGTAGGTTTAGGAGGTAAAATCAGGATAGAAGGGTAAGGAGTAGGTTTAGGAGATATAATCAGGATAGAAAAGTAAGGAGTAGGTTCAGAAGGTTTAATCAGGATGGAAGAGAGGGAGTAGGTTCAGGAGGTATATAACCAGGATAGAAGAGTAGGGAGTAGGTTCAGGAGGTATAATCAGGATACACGAGTAAGGAGTAGGTTCAGGAGGTATAATCAGGATAGAAGAGTAAGGAGTAGGTTCAGGAAATATAATAGGATACACGAGTAAGGAGTAGGTTAAGGAGGTATAATCAGGATAGAAGAGTAAGGAGTAGGTTCAGGAAATATAATAGGATACACGAGTAAGGAGTAGGTTCAGGAGGTATAATCAGGATAGAAGAGTAGGGAGTAGGTTCAGGAGGTATATTCAGGATAGAAGAGTAGGGATTAGGTTAAGGAGGTATAATCAGGATAGAAGAGTAGGGAGTAGGTTCAGGAGGTATAGTCAGGATAGAAGAGTAGGGATTAGGTTAAGGAGGTATATTATTACGATAGATGATTAGAGAGCAAGGTTCAAGAGGTTAATAGAAAGAATAAAAAACAAGAAGTAATTAAGACCGTTTATAGTGAATTATAAATAATACATAAAGATAAATTGGGAATGAAAACCTGTTTCTGTCTGAAGGTCTTGTGAAAAATGCGAAATTTTCCCCTAACTTCTAAGGCTATTCATTTTCATGTTTCACAATTTCACGTGTTAATGTCATTAGAGTAATATTATAATTTATTTCTTCACTTATAAATGGAAACTTATAAATGGAGAGGAAATGAGTTAAGCCTATTCTCTCCTCGCAGACTTATCTTTTCTTGGTCAAATTCACAAAGCTTTGACCAATAAGATATCGATCAATCATTCTGTTCATTGAAAGTTCCCGGACTAAGTTTATTTTATTGAGATGTTAGCGCTCTAAGGTCTTTCTTCCTAACAAGGTCCGGCTTGATGCCGTACTTTGACGTACGATAGTTTGTGTCATGGTTATAAATTCTTATCAGATTGGTAGATAATTAGGACGTACACAGTTGGAGACGTCATCTGGCCGACCAATGTATGTTGAGAAGAAACGGGTTTTGGTTAAATTACAATCTCTGAGGCGAAGGAATTGAGTCTTTGGCACAAACTCCAATGTTCTAATCTCGATATCTTTGCAGCCTGATGATGTAAATCTCTGATATTTCAAACTTATTTTATTTGATCTAACACTTTTCATAGTTTGAAATATCTAAGATCTGCTACATTTGGTTTTAAAGATACAGTAAATAGAGAATCTGAGTTTGTGGCAAAGATTCAATTCCTTTAGAATTAAGTTGTGACCGAAAATGCAATGAACTAAACTAGGTTCCAGCTGAGTTTGAAGAAAACTTGAGGAAAGAATGAACAAAATGCAAACTTCCTAAACTCTGAGTTAATTCTCGAACTTGATTAAAAGAATTTAAAAACCAAGGATTTTAAAGAAAAATCTTCTAGTTTTGCATTTTCACATCCACATGCATAAAAGGTACATATCACAGTGATTTAAATATCCAGGGTTAATAGTCAGTACATCTTCATTTTCAAACCCATTTCACCAATTAATTCTAGATTTTTTTTACGTTTTATATCTTTCTGTGCTTTATCATTAGTTTATATCAGAGGCATTATCAATGGGAGCTCATCCCCCCCCCCTATAATCAATGAAATCTTTAGTTTCCAGGGGAGTTTTTAGTCCTGTACGTGTGCTGGAAGAAAACAAACGCTCCTGGTTTCGTGGAAGAAAAAATTTGTATCAGACATCATATTTGTTATTTCATATTGAAAAAAATGTTATCTAAATTATTATTACTTCTTTTCTATTTAAAAAAGTCTGTAAGGTTAAAAATGTTTGAATTATTCTGAAATATTCTGAATTTACAATTTATTATCAGCTACTGCCATGTTATATATCAATGTCTTTTAAACCGTTTATTTTCTACGTTCATGTATTGAATAGAAACCACCGAGATTATAGTAGACTATGAGTCCTATTCTAAATAACGCGGAATAGTTTTAAAACTTCAAAGTCGTCTTTGACCTGAGAAATAGTTTGCGGCATTCATTGTAATAGGCAACCTTATTTAAGCAATATTTTTTAAGAAACAATAATAACAATATACTATATGGCCCTAATTCAGATTCCTGCCAGTTTCAAATCGTGGTCTGCCATTTTTTGCTTTAAAAAATACCAGAGTTTTTAAATTTAAATTTATCAATGTCTAGTTTTTAACAAAATTATTCATTTCTCCGGTATTCTTGAAAGCGAAGAAATGGCAGCCCACATTTTCGAAATAGCAGGGCTAGCTATTTTATAATCATTGTTTCATAAAAAATATTACTATAATTAGGTTGCCTTTAAATACCGTAAACTACGACTTTAACAACTTTGTGGTCTTACTATTCAATGAATATTTTGACTGTGGAGTGATAATGTAAGCCAATTCTTTACTTCCCATCAAGACAACTGACATTAAATTAACGTCAAATTGACATCTTTTTAGGGTGTTTTATGACATTTTGACATCACAAAAAGACGTCAAATTAATATAAAAACGAACCCCCTTTAATGTCAATAGGGCGTCTTTTATGACGTCAGAGTGATATAAAATATCCTTAAATTATGTAAATTTTATGCTTGTTTGATGTCATTTTGAATGTTTTAATCATCATAATGACATTATTTGACGTTACTTTATTCCTAAATGAGATCCTATTTACGATTCCTAACATCTAAATGACGTTCAAATAATGTCACATAAAATTCTAATGACGTCACTTATTATGACACTTAAACATTTTAATGTTGTCTTAGAACCCTATTTTTATCCAATTTACATCACATAACATCTCAAACCTGTATATTTCACCCAGAACAGAACTATGGATTCTCATGTTCTGATATTTATCCAATTTACATCACTCAGCATCTCAAACCTATATATTTCACCCAGAACAGAACTATGGATGCTCATGTTCTGATATTTATCTTAACCTTGAGAGAGCAATCCTCCTGCTATGCATTTTCAACATTTAACTACAGTGAGACTCATAAAAATGTGGGATGGCAAGACAACATTTAAGCAATCTTAAGCATATTTAATGTTGTTTTCAAGCAATAGTTCTAACAGTATCATGAAAATCAATTTATTAAGTGGAATGGGTCTGCATTGAATTAAATAAAAAAGTCGTCTTCATTATATTAATATTATCGCCTACCACCATGTTAGAAAGCTAGTGTTTGAGGCTAGTAAGCAGTTCCTTCAAGAATAGATATTGATTATTATAGCTTTTCTTCTTCTTTTATTACAATGATTAATGATTTGCATACAACATATTGTAAATTAAGTGAACTTTGGAATTCAACTCTGATAAATCAAATTGTCTTACGAACTATAGTAAAGAAGAGATAACTATTCGGGGCGTACACAGGCATCTTTACTGGAGAAATGGGAGGGAGGGGGGAGGGGGGTAATCTGGTTATAAGCTGAAAAAAGAGATTCGGGTTTTCACTTTGAACTTATTTATGCACGCCCTGATGTAAAAATCAATTAAGAACAAAAATTGTTGAAGCATTGAAAATACATACTATACAATCTCTGTCTGTTTGTTTGTCCGATCATAGCTCATGAGCCCATGGACAGATGTGCCTCAAATAACAGAAATATTCTCATTGGAGAAAATAATTAACGGATATCCAAGGAGAGAGAAAAAGAGTGGATTAAGGACTAAAATGAAAAGTTTCCACAGTGGATATTCGGATCAAGAAGTCAGGATTAAAGTTTACCCATTCTAAAGTTTTCAGCTCTGGACAATGCTGGATGCCCAAGCTAGTACATAATATAGCAATGTAGCTGTTGAAATTTACAAAAAATATTACATTTTTAAATATTAAAATTTATTAGATTCATGATTTTATAGTTAACTCATTGGTCTCTTTAATTTAGTTGTTACAATACAATGTTTATGTTTAAACTAAAATTTTTAATATAGAATTAACAGCACAAGGTTGAATTTTAAGATTTTTAGGAGCAACCTAAAAACTACTTGTTAAGAAGAGGAGGATTGTTTTGCATTTCTAGATAAATTGTTTGGAACGTTTTTAATTTGAATTCATCATTTCTTAAGGAACTTTAAGAAAAACATGGACGTAGTTTTTGACATGGATGTATTTGCATTGAGGGGAGATATAATGTGGCAAATTACATCAAAATTTGAAATAAAATTGTTCGAGCTGATTTCTTGCAACGAACTCTAATTTCATAATCTGCAATAGTTTTGCAGATCGATAGTGTAAGTCTTAAACTTAAAATATTTGATCTAGTAGAAATCATAGTTTGACATATTAAAGGTCTGCAACTTCAGGATGCAAAGATATGTGGATAAGAAAACAAGAATTTAAGGCAAGTTTTCATTCCCCCCCCCCCCTACATTTCATGATATATCAGAATTTTTATGATTATCAGGATGGTCTATGCTTAAAACGAAATTTTATTCTGAACTCTCGGCTTTATAACTTTTTTACTTAACACATTTCGACCTAAAAATGTAAAAACTTGCTCGAAATTAAGTTTTTAAAATGAAATTTTGAAATAATAATAATCGAAGTAAAAGATGTAAGGAATAGTCATATTTGTTAATAAAAAGTTTGGCCAGTTTAAGACTGTTAAAATAAATGAATTGTCGATGGTGGGAAAGGTTGTAGGGAGTGAGAACGGTGTTATAACTCATTACGAAAAGAGTTAAGCTAGTTCCATCCATTCAAAAATGTCCGCCTCAAGTCTCATTTATTATTTTTTCCACCGGTTATTTAAGAATCAATAAAATTTTAATTCACATCATAAAAAATATTTTGTTGAGATATTATCATCTATCTGCTTACATCTATCTATAGATATCCATCTACAGAACTATAGATCCAGTCTAAATGACTCTCAACTTTAGTGTATACTCCGGGTATAACGGAACCACAGGCAGAGGGACCAAAGGAGGCAATCCCTCCCACAGTCCAGCGGTAGTTTTCCGACCAGAGCAGAGGACCTCCGCTGTCTCCGTTACAGGAGTCTGTCGTTTGGTTTCCGGCACAGATAAATTTGTCGGTGATATCAACGCGAATATTTTTGACATTCTGGTTGTACTTTCGGGAACATTCTGGTTGAGAAAACTCTTCAACATCAGCAAACCTGGAACACGTGCAACCGTTATTCTGTTTCCTTTAAGGGACTGTAAACATAATTTTGAGTGACCTTCCTTTTAATCAAATTACATCTTCGATGCACAATGGTAACCGTTTGTCTGATTAAAAATCATAGAGTTTCTTTTCTGCCTGAAAATTATCTTTAAATTTAAGGAAATTAAACAAATTTATTTATTTTTTAGACCAACCAAAAAACGACGATATCATCCTCATTGTTAATCCAATAAAGCACTAAACGATACCGTTGTGAATCGGGCATGTAAAAATGTTAACGGAGGGTCACTTGAAATTATGACGCCAGTCCCTTTAATTTGCAACATCAAGAATGTTAAAGTTTTATTTTTCATCTCTCAGCAGATTGTGAATGTTATTTATTTGAAAATACACATTATTCCTCTATTTAGAAATAGAATTAGGAATAAGGAATTTGGCATTAAGAATTTGGCATTACAAATTTTAATTTTGAGATATTTTTGTCTTTCTATAAATTGAGATGACGATTTTATCAAATGAAGTGCAAGAAATCCAATCGTTAGGAAAAATTGACGAATCATTATGGCCGTGCATGGTTTTATGATCGGCCCTTCATTTGTATCCAATTTATTGGAATTAATTGTAAATATATTTTTAAAATCTGCAAGCTTTGAAACATTTGAACTAATAGCAGGCATCGTTGAAAGACAAAATAGGTTCAAATTCAAAAATTCCTTTAATAAAAACCTGTAAATAAAGAGACCCAAAATTAGATGAGAAAATTTACAAACCATCCTGCATCGGAAAATTTACAAACCAGATGATATCGGAGTATTTACAAACCATCCTGCATCGGAGTATTTACAAACCAGATGATATCGGAGAATTTACAAACCAGAAGATATCGGAGGATTTACAAACCAGATGATATCGGAGAATTTACAAACCAGAAGATATCGGAGGATTTACAAACCAAAAGATATCGGAGGATTTACAAACCTGAAGATATCGGAGGATTTACAAACCTGAAGATATCGGAGGATTTACAAACCTGAAGATATCGGAGGATTTACAAACCTGAAGATATCGGAGGATTTACAAATCAGAAGATATCGGAGGATTTACAAATCAGAAGATATCGGAGGATTTACAAATCAGAAGATATCGGAGGGGAGAACGGGGGAGATTTCATTAGGAGATGATTAAGGGAGAATAAAGAGGACGGAGGACTAATGATAGTCTTTAGGAGACTACTCAGGAATTCAGAGAGTAATTCAGAACTATACAGAGGGACATATTATAATAAATAGTCCTTGAATCGGGACTACAGTGGACTAATTAGGGGAGTAGTCTCATGCGACAACTCAGGACTTCAAAAAGTAATACAGAACTATACAGAGTATACATTTTAATGTATAGTCCTTGAATTGGGACTACAATTTGGGCTACATAAGAACCATGTAGTAGACGTAATATATAATAAAAGCATTTTTAAGGCCAGGGGGGGAGGGCAAAAATCGTCCAGGGGGTGCAACATTTTTTTGCGCTTTGCTCGAAATCTTCCCCCCCCCCCCTGGCTCAAATCCTGTGTACGCGCCTGTGCAGGCATGATTAGAATTTGGGATAATACTTTATATGTCTAAACAACGAAAGTCGGTCCAAAGTTTAGACTTTGGTATCTACTAATTAAATTAACACCCCATGTTATTTATATTGACCTGAGTTTTTTGACGGTTTCTCCTCTAACCCTCTCTGTATATCCCCAACCTGCAATAGTAGCTTCGACCCCTCTTGTTGTGGTTGGTAAACATACAGGAGTAATAGATTTAGCACCTTGAGACACAGTTACATCCCTGAAAACATTATATGCAGGATAAGGAATTTTTACCGCCGTGTTAGAAAAAATTCCCCCCCCCCCCGCGAAATATTTTGGCTGGATGGTTCATTACCTTGGTTTTCTCTCGACCTTCGAGGCAAAATTGTAAGCAGACAGATAAACAGAGAGAAGAACAGACAAACAAACATTAAAAAGATAGACAGACAAGCAGATAGACCGACAAACAGACATTCAAACGCGCTGAGTAGACGGAAAGACAAGAAAAATGAATACAAATATTTGGTTTACCTGTCTAGCGTCACAATAGCAATATCGTTTACTGGATTCCCCAGTCCAGGTCCTGTCCGGCTGCAAAACAATTTTGTTAATTAGTAAAAATGAGAATAATTTTTTTAGAAAAGCAGGAGTAAAACAATTAACTCACAATTTAAAATGTGTTTTCTATTAGTTAAATCTGATTAATACGATTTATTTCCACTATTGCTATTATTTCTTCAAAGAAAAGGAATGAAAAACAATGAGTTTTTTCATCCACGAACCAGATTATTTTTCATCCACGAACCAGATCATTTTTCATCCACGAACCAGATCATNGTAGATTAAATGTTTTGTGGTTCCCCCTGTAGATTAAATGTTTTGTGGTTCCCCCTGTAGATTAAATGTTTTGTGGTTCCCCCTGTAGATTAAATGTTTTGTGATTCCCCCTGTAGATTAAATGTTTTGTGATTCCCCCTGTAGATTAAATATTTTGTGATTCCCCCTGTACATTAAATGTTTTGCGATTCCCCCTGTATGTTAAATGTTTTGGAGACCATACAAAACATATCACCAAAAAACTTATCACCACAAAACTTATCACCACAAAACTTATCAAAACAAAACTTATCTAACAACAAAACTTATCAAAACAAAACTTATCATCACAAAACTTATCAAACTACAAAACTTATCAAACTACAAAACTTATCAACCAACAAAACTTATCAAACTACAAAACTTATCAAACTCAAAACTTATTAAAATAACTACAAAACTTATTTTTCAAAACATTTTTAAAAGTTGTTACAACTAAAACTTGACTTAGAATTTATATATATATAAATCATTATTCATCTGCAAATAGGCTGGCAATATTGAACAGATATGTGTTCAAGGGTACACTATCAAAGCTTGCACACATAGCCTTCAGGTCTTGTTCTTGTTCTCTTTGTATTTGTTGTACAGATGATTTTCATCATCCTTAAGTAAGTTTGTACCCTTCTGTGAGAGAACAAAATTAGCCTCCATCTCGGTGGAAAGGGGCTGGAAAACTGAGCTTTTACCGAATTTTCTATTAAAATTCGCGGATTTTTTAAAAATTGTTGGAACATTTTCATGATTTGAAAATTTAGATTCATTAATTTTATTGATAAGTTTTGTAGTTTGATACGTTTGTAGTTTGATAAGTTTTGTAGTTAATAAGTTTTGTTTTGATAAGTTTTGTAGTTTTATAAGTTTTGTAGTTTGATAAGTTTTGTGATGATAAGTTTTGTCGCTGATAAGTTTTGAAAAGATAAGTTTTGTGGTGATAAGTTTTGTGGTGATAAGTTTAGTGACGATATGTTTTGTATGGGCTCCAATGTTTTGTGGTTCCCCCTGTACATTAAATGTTTTGTGGTTCCCCATGTAGATTAAATGTTTTGTGGTTCCCCCAGTAGATTAAATGTTTTGTGGTTCCCCCAGTAGATTAAATGCTTTGTGGTTCCCCATGTAGATTAAATGTTTTGTGATTCCCCATGTAGATTAAATGTTTTGTGGTTCCCCGTGAGTCTGAAATTTAAGAAAGTATTGTGGAACAAAACTCCCAAGTTTCCTTTTTAGGGTTTACACATAGTTGAGTATATTTTAATTTCAGAAATCAGAAAACAAAAAGAGAAGTTAAAGAAATCACATGACATAATATTTCTTAACAAAAATATTTGTATCTACAAAACTGCATGACCACATTTATGAAACCAGGTTTTCGATACTGGGTTTCATTACGATACTCTGTCTTAAGTTTCGGGCTCAGGGGATAAAAAAATAAGAATATACCTGTACTCGGGATGAATCACTGCCTTTTGTATATTTGGAGTAACAATGGGTCTGTCAAGAAGGTTTACTAAACCTAAATTAAGTTGTTTTAAAATAAAAGAATTATTTTTGCGATCTATATAATAAAGCTCTTCGCTCATATTGTATATATAGTGCATAGTGTGAAAGCTAAATTTCTATCATTGATAAAAAACAACATTTTGGCAAAAATGAACTAAAAACATTCTTCAACTGTTCTTCAGTGAAACTGTCAAAAAGCTGTATCATTGTATGCCTAATATGGACTCAATTATCTCAAATCACAACAGAGAACTTTTAAACACACAACATGTTTAGTCAAACAATTCACGAAACCAAGTTCAACCCTATCTACTCCACCCATACAATCTACACCAGCAGACCAACACAAAGTTTACCTGAACACCTTGAACAATATAATACAACTTTACCTGAACACCTTGAACAATATAATACAACTTTACCTGAACACCTTGAACAATATAATACAACTTTACCTGAACACCTTGAACATTATAATACAACTTCTAAAAAGAAATGTAACTGCAGAGGGAAAAATTTTTGTCCTTTAAATGGAAAATATTTAACCAAATCTATTGTGTACAGAGCAGAAATAAAATCAGACCAGGATACAGTTGGATTTTAACACATTTAAAGAAAGATACCTGAATCATACATCATTTTTTAGGAATCAAAAATACAAAGAAAGTTCGACACTTTCCAAGCACGTTTGGAAATTAAAGGATTAAAGCAAGCATTATGAAATAAAATGGTTTATCCACGTATATATCCACACATCATCCAACCAAGAAGAGATGCAAATCAGTGCAGTGAACAAGCACATGTCGACATAGAAGAAAATATCTAATCGATTTAGCAAAGTGTGATCATGTTTTTATAAGTATTTAATAGTATGTATTTTGCATTTAAGTGGTATAACGTTTTGAAAGGAAAATATTTGCAAAGAAATGTTTTTTATATTTATTAAAAAAATGATGAAAAAATCTTTGAATTTTAGTTGCTCAAAAAGTTTTGACTATCTAAGGATCGTTATGAGACGTGAACATTTTGTTTAGTATAATTCTTTTTAAATAAAACTTGAAGTTTAAAAACTGAAATATATATATTATATATATATATATAAGCTATAGCTGGCCAAACAGCTGGGCCAAATTGGCTGAATTTTTTTTAGGGAACCCATGGGTGCTTGGAGGTAACTTAAGTAAAAAAAAAATAATTTCTCTCAAAATAAAAAGTGGTTTTTAAAATTCCACGGGCAACGCTAAGCACTTCAGCTTGTTAATTTTATAAATTTTATTATAATTCAAAAGGTATACGCGACACAATTAGAAAAAATAATACCTATTTTCACGGTGGTTATTTGTCTTTTAAAATCATCAGCGGTAGCTTTGTCTACACAGTGGGCAGCCTACTCATCATAATTAATTAATTATTATACTTTTGTATTTAATTGATTTGCAATTAAACTCAATCAAACTTCAACTGAAATTAAACATTTCACCTTTTATTTCAGATTATTGATATTAATAAATCTATTAGGAATATATATTCTCTTGAAAAATAATTACCCCCCCCCCCCCTCCTTCTTTGAAAATAGTTTTTTTTCACCCAGATTTTAGGTACGTATGCCGGGGTTGGGTAATTCTTAAAAATAAAAAATATATTACCGTGAGTACATGACGTTTTGTTATCAGAACCCCTCCACAGAAATTATGATAATTCTTTTCAGCGAACCTTCAAAAAAAAGAGTGTTAGTATAAATCATGTTTTTTTCCATTTTCTTTTCTCATTTGCTGATCTAAACATGATGGAAATATTGGATTAACAATCGTTCGGACTAACGTTCAAAAAGACGTTTGAACAAATATTTTTTAAATTGAACAAATAATTTTTAAATAACCTCCTATCAAGTTTTAGGTTATTTTACACAAAAAATTATATGATGAAGGACAGGCTAGGGAGGGGCAGAGCTCTGTGACTAGAACATGCTTAGGGCCGAGCGCCGCAGCCAAATTTCTCTATTAAATGATGATGCCAATGTGTTAAAATATATTTCAATTTTTTTTTAATTAGTTAGCTTTGAATAAAACCAAGAAGTATAAAAAAGCATTACAAAAATCTATTTGGAAGTTATTCAAATCGTGGCCTGGATTTTTTATCCCATAATTCTCGCATGATTTAGAAAGAAGACGACATTATGATATTTAACGGCCCATACCTCCACTGTAAGAACGCGACCATGAAAGGAAATTGTCCCTGTGTGGCTTCCTTGCCACCAATAATAAAGTTTGTTGGAACCGTCCCACATCCTGGATACGCCTCCCTGAAAACAAATATTTCATATTTCGGAATTTCATGAACTTACGTGTTACCCACAAAGGATGAGACTTCAGAGACGACTGAACAGAATTTATACAGTCTATTTCCTTATATATAATATTCTCTGCAACAGTGAACTGGTTTCTTTCGTTGCTATGTCAATAAATTCACTTAGAACACAATATTCAAGGCAGAAGACTCAATTAAAACTGTAATCGTCTTATTTTATTAGTCTTAGGTCGTCTTTTATACAGTCTCATCATTTATGGTCAACCCTGTATGTTTTTATTTTTATTTTAAACGTCAAACCAATCATGGATTATTTAGTAGAAAAATTGAAATCTTGCATGTTCTCTAATTCATGGTTATTTTGGCTTCCAAGGCGCTCCTTGTCCATTTTTTTAGCTTTATGATTTAGCTTTACCTGGGACCTTGAAATCTACATACATTGTAAAATATTGACACTTAAGAGTTCGCAGATTTTTTGCTTTTATTGATGAGTTTACACATTTTTTATTCCTTTTTTAATAACGTTCTTCATTTCTGATCGGCCATTAGACTTGCAAAAGGTAGTCTTTTGTGATATGACTTAATTTTAACTTAATGGACTTAGCAACTTTTCAAGTCTGATCTTTCAAATGACCTTCCGCATGTAAACCGTTCATTTCCTTCCTTAAAACTGAAGATATTTTACCTTCGTTCTGTAACAGGGACTGGTTTTGAGACAGGGACAGGTCTTGAGACAGGGACTGGTATTGAGGGTTGAGTAACAGGTCTTCTTAGTCCGATGCTCCCTGAACTCCCTGAACTAACTGAACTCTAAACATATGTCAAGTGAGAGGAAAGACAGAGTAAAAATACATCAATAGATGAGACTTTAATGACGACTTAAAGGAAGTTTAAAATTAAGAATTTGATCTTCTATTCTAAAGTCGCATGGAATTCGACATTAAGTGCTGCTACTGCAGTAGCCATGAATGTTATATAAGAAATATAGAATTAATATTGTACAGTCGTCACCAAATCATTTTTTAGTTCACCCTGAACAAGTAAAATCTTATATTTGCATTAAGTATGTATTTTTAAGTATTATTTTAAGTTTTGAAAATTCTCTTTCTAAAGAATTATCTGAAATGCTCGATCAAAGCCTAGTAAGGTTTGAAGAATCATAACGGAAAAGTTTTAATTTCCCTTCTTCCTTGGATTTTATTTGAAACCGAGCATTAGGGGATAATGGGCGGTTTCTGCCTTATAAAAATTTTCATTGGAGAACCCGAGCGTTTTTTGGGAGACCCCAAGATTTTCATTGGAGACCACCAGATTTTCATTGGAGACCACCAGATTTTCATTGGAGACCCGATCGATTTTCTTTGGAGACCCGAAGATTTTCTTTGGAGACCACCAGAGTTTCGTTGAAGACCCCTAGATTTTTATTGGAGACCCCAAGATTTTCATAAGAGACCCCCAGATTTTTATTGGAGACTCCCAGAAAGGGCTGGGCATCGTTCCTAGGGAACGATCGTTCTTTCACAGAAAGAACTGAATATCAAGAACGATCCTATCGTTCCGAAAAAAAAAGAATTAACACATATGAACGCGGTTTTGAAAAAATATTGGAACGATTATTAGGGGAACGAACCTGAAAGGGGCTGAAATTGCTTGAAAAGAACGTTAAAATCAGGAACGCGTTCTTATTATCAGAAACGCGGTGTAAGTCAGGAACGCATTTTAAATCAGAAACAGGCAGGGGCGTACGAGGGGGGAGGATGCAGGGGGGGGGGATAATTTATTTTACGTCTGGAGATTTGTTGAAAAAGCCTTGGATTTTTGATTTTGCAGGCAGTACTTTTAAAGCTTTTCATTATATTTTTTAAAAATCATTTTGTTAATTTCTTTTTTCACTTCTTCAAAGTTAACAAACCTACCAACCAGTTTTATTAACATAGAACCACTAGAGGTTTAAATGACGGTAGAGATAATTTTAATTCTGATTCACAACAATACCTTTGCCTGATCAAATATTGCATTAAATATCAATGTTTCCCATTTTGATAACTGATTATTTTTATTTATGGTTTCTCTACAAAAGTGACTCGCGTATTTTTTGCTTCAGAAAAGATGGAGAAATGAAGGTTTCAAAGGTTCATCGAACATACCACTCTATAAATGGAGGGTCACTTGAATTACGCATGTATTCCATTTAAGTATAATTACATCATACAATAAAAATTATTTTAAAATCTAAATTTTGCCCTTAACTAAAAACGTTTCATTAAAAAAGCTTTAATCGTCTTCAATGAAAATCTTAAGGTCTCCAATGAAAACTGTGGATTTAAAACAAAATTTTTAGTCTCCAATGAAAATCTTGGGTATCTCCAATAAAAATCTGGGAGTCTCCAATGAAAATTATCGGGCCTCCCAAAAAATTCTGGAGTCTCTAATGAAATTCTGAATGTCCCCAAAGAAAATCTGGTGTCTCCAATGAATTTCGTGGGGCCTTCAATGAAAATTTTGGGAGTCTGCGACGAAAATCTGGGGTCTCGATGTAAAGCTGGGGGTCTCCAATGAAAAATGGAGTCTGCAACGAAAATCTGGTGTGTCCAATGATAAAATTGGGGTCTCCAACGAAAATATGGGGGTCTCCAAAGAAAATCTGTGGATCTCAAAGATAATCTGGTGTCTCCAATGAATTTATTTGGGTCTGCTATGAAAATTTGGGGGTCGACAACAAAAATCCGGGGTCTCAATGAAAAGCTGGGGGTCTCCAATGATAATCTGGGGGTTTCCATTCCCAAATGAAAAGTTGGGGCTCTCTAACGAAATGGTCGATCATTTCCTCCAATGCTTGGTTCTATAAGGCAGAAACCGTGTATTACCCCTAATGCTTGGTTTCTATAATGTAGAAATCGCCCAACTACCCCCTAATGCTCAGTTTCTATAGGACAGAAACCGCCCACTACCCCCTAATGCTCAGTTTCTATAATGTAGTAACCGCCCCACTACCCCCTAATGCTCGGTTTCTGTAAGGCAAAAACCGCCCACTACCCCCTAATGCTAGGTTTCTATAAGGTAGAAACCGCCCCGCTACCCCCTAACGATCAGTTTCTGTAAGGTAGAAACCGCCCCATTACCCCCTAATGCTCAGTTTCTATAAGGTAGAAACCGCCCCACTACCCCCTAATGCTCGGTTTCTATAAGGTAAAAACCGCCCCACTACCCCTAATGCTCAGTTTCTGTAAGGTAGAAACCGCCCACTACCCCCTAATGCTAGGGTTCTATAAGGCAAAAACCCTCCATTACCCCCTAATGCTCGGTTTCAAGGGCGAGAAATTGTTAGAGTTCCCAACTGCTTTGTAGCATTGTCAGCATTGTAAAAGATGGAAGAGTGGGAAGGGGGGGGAGCTATTTAAATTTTAATCCATACCTGAACCTGTCTCCGATCCTTACAACAAATCAATCTATAACCGCATGATGAGGAGTAAGAGTAGCTTAAACCTCTGCAAGAGCTAGGTGTTCTATACAAACCCAGGATTTAAAAATTTTAAAATGTTAAATATTATTTAAGAAATGAAATAAATATCAATGAAGGTAAAACATTTTAAATTTGTTCTTTAAAAGAAATTATTTTTTCTTCAAATAAAATCATTTGTTATTCAAGGGATATAATTTGTTCTTCAAGAGAAATTATTTATTTGTCTTTCGAGAGAAATTAGTTGTTCTTCGAGAGAAATTATTTGTTCTTCAAGAGAAATTATTTGTTCTTCAAGGGAAATTATTTCTTCTTCATGAGAAATTATTTGTTCTTCGAGAGAAATTATTTCTTCTTCATAAGAAATTATTTGTTCTAAAAGTAAATTATTTGATCTTCAAAATGAACTATTTCTTCTTTAAGAAAAATTATTTGTTCTTAAATAGCAACATTTGGATAATCATTGGATTTTCTAGAGAAAGAATTAGCCCTTCAAAAAATAATTATTTTTCAAAATTTTTTTCTTTCACATTTTACATTGAGCATTTGTTTTTAAAATACATAATATAATCTCAAAAAATAAAGCACCGAAACTTAAAGAAAACGCTTTTTTTCCCGAGAGATATCCTGTATTCTCTAAGAAAACACAGTTTTTTCTTAAAATTTTATCTTTTTCTTCCTCCCAAAAATGTTATCTGATATCTAAATTATTTCTTGAAATGAACTCATATACTTTTACAGGGAAAAATAAAATAGTAGAATAATAAGTTTAAGATTAAGGTATTCTGTATGATGTCGAAATCAAATATATTTTGCTTATTGTTTTTTTGTAAATCTTAGTTCCTGCAAGTTCCAAAGTGTCCGATAGTAGCAAAGCAACTCCAGCCGACCTGATACGAAGATCTTACACTGATCCCCAAGTTCTCCTCCAGGTCTGGAGTCTCTTCAAGTTCTATTCCATCATCTTCTTCTTCAGGATCAGGAAGGATTTGAACAAGTTCTTCTTCCTCCTCTAAACTAGGAGATGGTTCCTCTGAAGACTCATCTGTACTTACTTCACTAAAGGAAGGAATGTAATGTTGGGTTTTACGTTGCTTTTGTGTGTTGACGCCTGGTTTATCTCCGAAAAGAAGGGACTTAAAAAGAAATTGATTTATTGCCATAAACTAATTTCTATTTTCTAATCTCTATATCTTTGCAACCCAATGTCGTAAACCTTTGATATTTTAAACTTAGATAAGTAGATCCAACATAATTCTTAGTTATCTATGGTCTAAGACATGAGGTTGCTAAGGTATAGGGATGAGAAAATTAGAGTTTGTGGTAAAGACTCAATTCCAATTAAAGGATTTAATCTCTGATTGCGGGAGAACCGGCCGAGAATTAAATAGAATTGATGAAATATTTAGAATCGGTTCAACAGATTAGAATCAGTTTACTGGGCCGTATTTTTGGGATTGGTATTTATTGCATGTTGTTAAAGGATTGAAGACATAAACTTGATATGAAAAGAAACATTTTATACAATTTAATTTGTCCTCTAAGACTGTCTTAGTCTTGTCCGTAATTCCGAAACTTGATAGATTTTATGTTAACTAACTCTGTGATTGGTTCCAACCTGTCATTACATGGTTACAACCTGGCATTACATGGTTCCAACCTGTCATTACATGGTTCCAACCTGTCATTACATGGTTCCAACCTGGCATTACATGGTTCTCCTGGGAAGCAAATCACGTGTCCGTCAACTGTGGAATTTAAAAGAGAGAATATGTAGAGAAAACAAATATTTAAATGAAGGCATCTTAACAAATACATTTTCTTTATTCTGAAATATTATTAGCTTTAATTTAACCTTGGCGAGCTAGATAATCTTTCCAATGTTTTAAAAATGAATTCTTCAAACGTCAATATTAGGACAGCTCAAAGGGACTGTAAGCGTAATTTCAAGTGACCTTACATGCAAAGATGGCAATGCCCGATTCAAAACGGTACGATTAAAAGCTTTGTAAGACCAAGTATTAGTTAGATATCAATGTTTATTATTTTGAAGACTTATAATTTTCAATGCGGTTTCTCAACAAAAGTGCCTTGCACATTTCTTCTACAGGAAAACACTGATGAACCTGAAAAACCGAAATTTTTCCACGTTACTGAACAGAAAAAGGTAAGGGTAAGGGTACCATTGTGAATCGGGCATTGACATCTTGTATGGAAGGTCAATTCTAATTACACTTATAGTCCCTTCTCTGCAACCTGATGGTGTACCTTTAAAATTTCAAACTTGATAAATTGATATAATAGAATTCATAGTTTGAATTATTTAAGGGCTAAATTAGGTTGCATAGATATAGGGATTATAAATTCAGAGTTTAAAATATCTAAGGGCTAAATTAGGTTGCATAGATATGGGATTATAAATTCAGAGTTTGTTGCGAATACTTAATTCATTTGAACTGGTCAGAAATTTTGAGTTGTGAATCTCAGGATTAGCCATTGGTCTCCGTCTTATGCAGTTCTACAGATTAATTTAATTTCTCTTCGATTCCCGGCCATGTAGGGATAAATTTATTTGAAGGAATAAGCATTGATTCCCAAATTTAAAAGTGCCCACATTAGATATCGAGATCAAGTGTTCAAGATTAACAATATCAACAGTATGAACAGTACACAATGATTAGACACTTAGCTATTGTACTCGTAGACCTCAGGTAACAAATTTTGTAATAGACAATAGACAATAGAGTATATAGACGGTAGAGTTACAGGGTGTCCCAATAAATTGAGATTCTTTGCTTTCTTGTATCTTAAAAACTGACGAAGTTATTAGATATTAAAACCATTTTGATTTATTAAATAAATTGAAATGTGCCAATTTGCCAAAGACGATATCAAAGTCGTCACTGAATTCCCATGTTTATTGGGACACCCTGTATTTAGACTACAAAAGTTAATCATTATACTCCTGCTAGACAATGTATACACTGAGATATAGAAAATCTGAAAGTTATTAGACAACCTCGACGTTAAAGTGTCGCAACGCCTTGACCTTTGGTTTTACCTCAACAACTCACTTTATATTTGCCCTAGGCTATACAATTTAAAAATGTGTTTTGAAGGAGAAATTGGCAAAATACTGCTCGAGTTTTGAAAGATCTTGGTTTGCAGTGACAATTATTACTATCAGACATTAGACATATGCTCTGGAATTGAGATGCTAGAAGCTTGAGTCTATGGAGAAGTATAAAGTTTATGATTAAATGTGTTGAAAGAAAGGACTGGTTTCCCTATGCATGTATCTAACTGCACATGAAGTTAAGCTGTGCCTGTGTGTACTATTGACTGGTATCATGGTTCCTCTGTCTCTAATCTCTAGTTGATTCACCCTCAAAACTGGTTTCTAATCCTGCAAACATCAGTCTAGAATTTACAAAAGATACGAAGTGTTGTAAAAATGAGTTTACAGTGTGTTCCAAAAAACATAGGAATTAACAATATAAAATATCCAAACATTGTATTGTTTCGTTTTGTTTTATTAATACTACATTAAATTATATTGAAAATATATATTATATAAAAAATTATAAACTAAATTCACTAAACTAAATAAACTAAATTCATCATTTTTGAGTTAGAAATTATATATTTTTCTTCTTCATTTGTGCCTGTGCATATATAACTAGAATGGCAAATTTCTTCACTCCTCAGCTTCAAGCTTCCTTTCAGCCAGCTCAGGCTCCTTTCCAGCAGGCACAGGCTTCTGATCATAACTCATCTCAAGTTCAAGCTTCATTTCAGCAAGCCAAGGCTCCTTACCAGCAGGCTCAAGCATCTGATCATAACTCATCTCAAGTTCAAGCTTCATTTCAGCAAGCCAAAGCTCCTTACCAGCAGGCTCAAGCATCTGATCATAACTCCTCTCAAGTTAAAGCTTCCTTTCAGCCAGCTCAGGCACGTCTTTCTTGCTCAAATGCTTGTGAAAAACTGACCAGAGATGGAATTTAAAGAATTTGAGCCGCGGTTTAAATCCGCCAAATCCCGGTTTAAATTAAGCGCCGGCTTAAATCATGAAACATTTGATACAATTTTAAGTGGAACCAACCATATTTAAACTGCGGCTTAAATTTAAACCGCCGCTTAAATTCTTTAAATTCGGCCACTGTTTTCCGATTTTCGGGAAGGTTTCCCGGATTTTTTGCTTAAATTTCGTTCATTTTCGAAAAAATTTAATTCTTTAATGCTCATGTAATTTTTATTTTAGATGAGGGGGAATTAGTTCTTGTCACATCATTTTCGACAGAGAATTAGGAAAATGGTTTCAGAAACTGAGAGAAATCCCGTTTTTTGCCATAGCACAAGCTGTGGATAAGATAGAGAAAATTCAAAGGTACTGTCGGAATCGGAAGAAAAAATGCAAGATATTTTGATACAAAAGGCGTGTCCGTAAAATTAATAGTGAAGGCGTGGCGGCTTAATAATTGGGTGAAAAAACCCGTTTTTGGCCGAAAACGGTTTTACTTTTTTACGACCCGTCGGAACGACGGGTCGTAAAAAACTTTAGCGAACCAATAAAGATGCACAAGAACCTCTAGAATGCACTGGAAAAAACGGATTGAAAAAATGTTACGGTGCTTTACAGATATTTTTGCAAATTCATAGTTTGCATAACTAGGGTCTAAGAAATCAGTTTGTAGATTTAAGGAAAAGAAAATTAGAGTTTGGGGAAAGTGTTCTGTGTTTGACCACAGTTGATTGCGCGCGTTCACAGCAATTCCTTTTGATATAAACTATCTTTATTATTAAGATGTGTACTTTTGTTCTGGAGTGCAAACTTGCAGTTTGCATTAAAAACTGTGCACTTATTGTATAGTGAATTGGACAGAAATTTGAAACAGATTCTTTGATCAAGAATCTGACAAGATTTTTTTTTATACCTAATCATCGTTTGTAAATTAAACATATTTAAAGGTTTTTATATATTTTTGTTTCAGTTGTCTGCCTATCCTGCGGACCTATCCTATGGGTTCCAGAATTAAAGCTGGAGAAGCGCTGAGTTTAGTGACGCATCTTGTATCCTACAGGGGAAGCAAGAATTGTACATAGATTAAAATAAAACTTCATCTTCAGCTTGGTGTACTGAAAGAGGAGTTTAACCCCTCATGGGAATACAAGCCATGCACAACAATACCGGTGTTTTACTCGGCGATATGTGAGGACTGGACTGCTATGGAAGATTTCTTTCAAGTGAGCTTTAAGGGATCACAACTTCCCATTTTGCATAAGGGTTGCAGTTATGGGTTTCCTTAATCCCCCTAACTGGGAAACAGTATAAATGAAGCCAGCTGCAATTTAATCTCTTGGAAAATTTCAACATCAGCAATCAAGGGAATTTAAGGAAATTTTACTTTACCTTGGCCCTAGGGTCCCCAATACCAATTTTTCTTACAAAACATCAAAAGTTTGATGAGAGATGTTTTGTACAGAAATTGGTCAATATTTGACTTATTTGTTCCAAGGGACCTAAAGTAACTTAATTATTCTTTAAGTAAAGAATCATTATAAACTTTGTAAAACATCTTTGGTTTCCAATACTTGGAAGCCTAGTATATTATACTTACATATATACTTTTTTCTTATCAATTGACAATTTGTCCATTTCATGATAATTTCTTAAATTCTTTCAATTAGACCTTAATCTTATTTACAATTTTTTTGCAAGGTTTCATTAAAAATCCATATCACAGTTGAGATGTTTGACCCACAGTTGAGATGTTTGAACCACAGTTGAGATGTTTGAACCACAGTTGAGATGTTTTACCCACAGTTGAGATGTTTGAACCACAGTTGAGATGTTTGAACCACAGTTGAGATGTTTGAACCACAGTTGAGATGTTTGACCCACAGTTAATAAGAAAAGTGCAGAGGGTTGGGAACATGGAGAGGAGAGACACCTTTTTACATTTTCCGAAATTAAAGTTAGTGGTCTAATTATTTTTTTTCAATGAGCTGGCCTTGAAAAATTGGGCTATGAACCATGCATTACTGGGATGGGGGGGGCCTGGGAGTCCCCCCCCGCCCGTCTATACATTGATTCAGCCCCCCAGTCTTTATAGGGTTAATATTGAAATTAAAACTTGATTTTTTCATAAAACGGCTTTTTTAGGGGAGTGAATTTCCTTTGCTAGGGGGGGGGGGGGGAATCAAAAAAAGTTCACCCCCCTAGGCTTAATCTCTATTACGCCCCTGCTAATTATATTCCTATATTCAAATCCTATCATATTGTTTAAATATGTGTGTTCTTTCAGTATGATTATGCATTTCATTGCATCATTTACTGCGCCCTCGGGTTTATCATTGAATCCCTCGGGGGTTTAAATGTCCATGAATTCTAATTTGTCTGAAAGTAAATGACATTCCTTTGTAAAATATTTATATATTTTTATATTTAGTCTGAAATCGATCAAAATAATATTTGTTGCATACAAAAAAACCAGCTTTTTATAAAGTGATGTTTATTTTCTATTAAAGTGTATATTCATTTAAATGGATATTGTAAAACCGCGGGATTAATTGTTATGCTTAATGCATTATTAAGGTTAATTTGTTTTGGTTGATCTTGACATTATTATTGTTCTTAATGGAGGGGGGGGGGAGGGGGTATATTAGGAGAGAGTAAATAATTTGTATATATATAGAGCATATATACTGGGAGTTTTGGGAGAAAAATAGTATGAGTATATATATTGGGAGTATTTGGAGAAGATTTGCTCACTGCTCTTGTTTTAGATCTAACTAAGTCCAGTGTAAGCCTCTAAGTCTTACCA